AGCCATGCTCAACTACGGGTCTTCAGCCTGTTCCTATTTTTGAGGAGGGCACATGTTCCAAGCAGACTCATCAACATACCACACACGGGAAAACGCAGCTGGCGCGCTCACCTAAGCCGAAAGTGTTGGCCAAATCGCTAGCCGCTAGATCTCAGCATGTTTAAGCAGTGGTCTATTCCAGAGATAGCGGAAAAGCAACGTCGAAGTCATATCGTGGATTGAGCAGGTATCATGGTAACAGCGGCGTTCGGGCAAAAGGTTCTGCAGGTTCGGGTTTGGGGATGTGGTCTCCTCGGTTAGGGTCTGCGAGAAGTACACCCGAGGCCCCAGCCATCGCTCCATCGTGAGCTGACGCTGCCTGGAGCGCAGGAAACTGCACAGCTTTCGCAGGGTAAGAACGTTTTTTTTTTTTTGGTTCCGTACGCTTTTGTTCTCCACGCCTTTTTGTAACTCACGCGGCTGGCGGAGCAAAAGAAAAAAACTCCGGGCGCGTTTTTCTTTTTGTTCGGGACGCGGCTGGCCGAGCAAAAAACACTCCGGGCGCGTTCTTTTTTGTACGGGATGCGGTTGGCCGAGCCAAAAAAAGGGCGCGTTGCTTTTTTGGTTCTGGACGCGGCTGGCCGAGCAAAAAAAGGAAAAGGAGAAGAGCTGGCCGAGCCTTTTTTTTGGGGACGCGGCTGGCGGAGCAAAAAACAAGAAAAACACTCCGGGCGCAGCATTTTTGGTTTGGGACGCGGCTGGCCGAGCAAATAAAACACTCCGGGCGTTTTCTTTGTACGGGACGCGGCTGGCGTTTTTTTTGGTTCCGGACGCGGCTGCCCGAGCAAAAAAAAACTCCGGGCGTGCTTTGTTTTTTTTTTCTCGGGGTGCACCCGGTCCCTCACTCACTTGCTGGCCGGGGTCGTCCAGGGGCACGCCTTTTTTTGGTTCCGGACGCGGCTGCCCGAGCAAAAAAAAACGTCCCTCACTCACTTGCTGGCCGGGGGTCGTCTCTAACCTTCGTCCAGGGGCGCGTTGTTTTTTTGGTTCGGGACGCGCCCGGTCCCTCACTCACTTGCTGGCCGGGGGTCGTCTCTGGGCCTTGGTCCAGGGGTGCATTTTTTGGTTCCGGACGCGGTTGCCCGAGCAAAAAAAATCCGGGCGTGTCTTTCTTTCGTTCGGGATGCGCCCGGTCCCTCACTCACTTGCTGGCCGGGGGGTCGTCTCTGGGCCTTCGTCCAGGGGCGCGTGGCTGCCCAACCACAAAAAACAACTCCGGGCGCTTTTTTTTTTTTTTTTTTTTCTCTCTCCTCGGGTCGCGCCCGGTCATCCTCAGCAACAATACTGCTGATGTCACTTCTTGCCTCTTCGTCTCCAGGTGATGCAGGTGGTTGTCCAGGTGTTGCACGTGTTGGTGTTTGTGCTCCGCGTGAACCTTGTCTTGATGTAGACACCGCACCAGCTTCACCTTCGCCTGATACAGGACGAGGCGGTGACTCAGGATTGCTGCTCTGAGTAATTCTACTATTTCTGCCTTTTCCCTTGGGCGTGGATAAAGCCCTAAGGTCTTTTGCTAACTCGCGCCTCATGCGCTCCCCGTGTTGTAACACGCGGGCTCGGGGTCCTGAATTCCCAGTCATGGAATCCGCTGGCAGAGCCAGAATAGATATAAGACCCGGATTTCGTTTCGAGCGGTGTACTGCTCGTCTCTGCGGGTTGATATTGCAGGCCAGCAACGGACATGGCTCGGTTGGGATGTAGTTCTACTTGCACTATGGGTGAGACTGCGGGAAAACTAGGTAATATTCACAAGGGTTTAGGGTTTAGGGTTTAGGGTTTAGGGTTTAGGGTTTAGGGTTTAGGGTTTAGGGTTTAGGGTTTAGGGTTTGAGCCCTAAAGCTATCAAGCCCAAGCAAAGTAAATATACACTGGGAAAGCTCCAGCGAGGGAGTGCGGCCGGCACTGATGCCCAACCTTAAGCTCATCCCTTGGGCAGAGGTCTTAGGGATTTGGGTTCACTTCGTGGGGTTTAGGGTGTAGGGTGAGGGTCTGGGTTTCAAGGGTTTGGGGTTTGGGTGTGGAAGTTGAGGCTTCGGCCCAAACAGAACCCTAAACCCTAAACCAACTTCATACACACCTGGAAGCTCGCGGCTGCCATTTTGGCAGCCCTTTGTGCGTCGAGCCCGATATGATGTGGAACTCTAAGGCCTAAACCCCCAAAGGTTTTAGGGTTTAGGGTTTAGTGTAAACCCCCAAAGCAACCATATGGTGCCATGCTAAGGTTTAGGGAATTGATCACCTTGCAGACCCCTGCCGACCACCTCCGTCGTCCAAGCGGCTCAGAGTCACAAACGCGCCACCGCCATCGGACGCGCACGTCTGCGCCCATCATCCCGAGAGGCCACACAGAGGCCAAGATCGCGCTGGAGATGCTCCGGCTGTAGGGCTCAAAGGATTTAGTGTTTGGGGTTTAGGGTTTAGGGTCTAGTGTTTGGGGATTACCCCGTGAGCATGATCCGTTATCAAAGCCCTACCAAAAAGACAGACAAAAGACAAAACAATCACCATCTTACCCCAAACCGCAACCGTAGGGGAGCAGCCTGCAGACTCTTAAAGAAGGAGCGTAGACTATGTGCTCTTGTTACCCTAAACCCAAAAACCCTAAACACTAAACCCTAAAATGGTAGAATCTAGAATTACGTCCCGGAACAAGCTAGGAATGAACAGGACGCCCTCTTCTGCTTCTTAGAGGCTCAGAGGTGTTTAAGAGGGAACCCAACCCCCCCCTCCCCCCCAAGAAAAGGGTTTAGGGTTTAGGGTTTAGGGTTTAGGGTTTAAGGTTTAGGGTTTAGGGTTTAGGGTTTAGGGTTTAGGAATAAAGGCCCATTCCGGCTCCTCGAGTCCCAGAGACAAGAACCCTCTCCGCACCTGCGACCAGGAGTTGGAGGGAACTGGCTCCTTGCCCTGCCCCTTGCTTTCAGTGCCTCACGCACGGCAAAGCTTCGGGTTTTGGGGTTTGTGGGGCTTAATTTCTCTTTAAACCCAAGCCCTAAACCCTAAACCCTGGCAAAACCCAACCTCCCACCCTCAGTGGCAAGCCCCAAACACAGCCACCCTAAACAAAGTCCTGACCGACCAAACTTCATAAAGAAGCTTAGGGTTTAGGGTTTAGGGTTTAAGGTTTAGGATTGAGGGCTGAAGGTGAACGCTGCCTTGCTCGCGTTTGGGCGCGGCGAGGTCGCAAGTCCTGGGATGAAGCTTGGGGTCTAGATAATCATCCCTATATTACGCTTATAAGGAGGAAGATTTCGTACTTTTGTTGAGGGGGGTTCTTCAGCAAATGTAGTAGTGAAAGCCCCAAACCCTAAACCCTAAGCCCTAAGCCCTAAAGCGCAAAGTCATGCCACTACCTCCCGACCCTCGGCCCCTGCCCGTCGAAGCCGAATTCAGGCACATGATGCTCGACATCAGTTTTAGTAGGGCTGAGGACTCAGGGTTTAGGGTTTAGGGTTTAGGGTTTCGGGCTACTCCCTCGAGCTCTAAAGCAGACACTACGCCACAGGTCTTTGACCCTGAAAAGACCCTGAGCGTGCCAATCTTGGGGTGAAAGCTCAACCCTAAAACCTAAACCCTAAACCCAAAACCCAAACCATCTCTGCCCTTCTACAGCACAGTCGAACACCGTACCCATGCACTTTGCAGATACTTAAATCTCCAAGGGACTATATAGTAACTACTTTGGAGCCACAGTCGGCTCTACAAAAGCAACAAGACCCCTAAACCCTAAACCCTAAACCCTAAGCCCGACAGGTCCCAGGAGCTCTGGCGGCGATTGTCAGCTGGGCAGAAGTAATGAGGCGATTAGTCTAGGGTATAGATTAGGTCTGAGAATGGCAGTACTGAGAGTGCTGCTCTGCGTGGCGGTGGCTAGGGGGGGGGAGAGGACTTCGGTATCTCTGCCTACATGCGAGTTGTGGATGCGAAGGTGAGGGTTCCGCAGGCTTACGCGATGGTGCATGGAGTTGTTTAGATAAGGGGCTTCGTGTGAGGCATGTCGAATGCATGTTGCAACTGGTGGCAGAAGCTGTGTCGTGATTCCACGTGACTGCTGAGCCGCTGGCAGCAACATGAAACCTTGCTTCTGAACCTTAGGTCGATAATGTCTATAACGGCTTAGAGACCACGCAGAGAGCGGCGCGGGCATGCAGGTGGAGCTGGAGTCTCCTAGCGCCTAAACATATTCTAGACCAAAAAAGCGCTGGATTTTGCTCTGATGTCCTGATTCCTGGAAGCCCCTGGTGGCCTTGGGGGGGGGGGGCCTTTTCTGAGGGCTGCTGTTTACACAGGGGGTTTAGGGTTTAGGGTTTAGGGTTTAGGCCATTCGGCTTTGAATGCCCAAAGCAAGGCTGCCTCTCAAGTTCTCAAGTGTTCCAATTTTGCCCAGAGTTCCAAATTGTCCCACGTGTTTCCAAGTGTCCCTAAACCCTAAACCCTAAACCCTAAACCTCCCTAGTATTCCAAGTGACCCAAGTGATCCAAGTGTCCCAGGTGTTGAAAGAGTCTTAAGTGTCTTACATGTCCCAAGTGGCCCCAAGTGCCCTTTTGCGCGTCCGTGCAAGTGATTTCAGTGCCTTCCAAGTGCCCCGAACACGGGTTTAGGGTTTAGGGTTTAAGGTTTAGGGTTCTTGCTTTGGCTCGGATTGGCCTGGGCTGGCTCTGTATCTTCTGGTTATTATGGTTGGTTGACACTATAAAACTCAACTATCGAAAAACAAAAGTTATTCGTGTCGAAATAATGGTAGATACCCGAAGCCCTGAACTCATGACCCTCTTTTCGGCCGAAAGCCGGTGCGCCAAAGGTTGCGGGCCTTTCGCTCAAGGAGCGGCCGCACGGCTATGTACAGCAGCCCGTAGCGCCAGAGCTGCTTTAGGGGGGGTAGGGTTTAACGGTTTAGGGTTTAGGGTTTTGGGGGCTGCTTCGGGTTGCTTCTGGAGCTGTACGAAGCCTCGCTGGCAACGCATCAGCGGACGAAGAGGTTGATGAAATCCTGACGCTCAGAGCATCTGCGGCACTCGGCGCGTAGGACTCTTGGGGTTCGGAGCCCGGTAAGACCCCAAAAAACTCGCAAACTCGCGCCATGGTAAGCCCCCCCAAGCCCTAAACTCCAAACTCCTCTGCCTTGAACCATGAGGATTTGGGCTAAACCCTGTGCCCTGACTCACGCCCAGCTGCAAAGCACCAGCATCCTACCTCTATATTACCCCGTACAAACCCTTGCCGAAGTCCTCACACCTATGTACCCCTAGGGCCCATTATAGGAACCCGTAGGATAGCTACAAGGCAGAGGGCCTAGATCCCCTTACAAAGGGGCCTATAAGGGGCTAACACCAGCAAAAGGAGAAAGGGCCCGATTTAGGCTTTAGGGTTTAGCGTTTACGGTTTAGGGATACCGGGAATGGGGGTCCTGGTGACCATCTGGGAGTGGCGTCACGCAGGCAAGTGTACCTCGAAGCTTTGGGGGGCCGTTTAGGGCTTGGGAGTTCAGGTCTTCGGGGCCCGGGGGGTGAAGGGTTCCCTCGTCCTTCCCAGACTTCCAGGGAGCTGGCCAGACCCGCAGCCACCTAGGAAGTCGTTCCTGGAGTTCGCAGAGCAAAAGGGACAGTGGTATGAGGGGAAGCTCCCAGAACCCCAAACCCGAAACCCCTAAACCCTAAGTTTAAACCCAAAACCCTAAACTTGGAGAAACAAAAGCCCTGGAGCTCGGGTTGCTACCGCTGATGGCTCAGGGTTCAGCGTTTAGGGTTTGGGGAAAGTCTTTGTGCTGATTTTTGTGGGGCCGGTTCGGGGGTTGGCTTTGGCAACTTTGGGCGCGGAGGGGGGGGGGGGGGCACCCTTGCACCCGCTTTGTCATTGGCGAAGCCATAACACCCAGGCCCTGAACCCTGAACCTAGGGTTCAGGGTCGTAGGGTCTTTGGGTTTTAGGGTTTCAGGGTTCTAGGGTCCAGGGTATTAGAGCTTTGGGTTTGGGAGTTGGGGTTTCGCGCGAAAAGGGAGGGCAACCTCTGCATCGCCCTCAAGATTTAACCCCCAAAGCCCTGAACCTTAAATCCTAAACCTTAAACCCTAAACCCTAAACCCTAAACCCTGAATCCCCAAACATCTGAATCCCTGAGCCCAAGACCAAGACTTGACCCCGCCTCGGCGGTCCAAGAACATGAGCTTAGCCCAAAACTTGGGATCCGAGTCCCCAAGCCCCAGATCCTGAAGACCCCAAAAGTGTAGGGTTTAGGGTTTAGGGTTAACCCCTAAACCCCTAAAACCCCAAAACCCCAAACCATGTAAAACCCCGAACCCTCAAAAATTAAACCCTAAACCCCAAACCCATATAAAGCCCCGAACCCCCCGAAAAAACTAAACCCTAACCCCCCCAACAAAGGCGCGCTAAACCCTAAACCCTAAACCCTATAAAGCCAAAGCTCCAGAGAGGTCCGAGGTATCCGCTGGACCACTCGCCCGCCTCCGCACTTGGCGGGAACCCCCAACAACCCCCCATCATTAACCATAAACCCTAAACCCTAAAATTCAGGGCCTTTTTTAGGGTTCAGGGTTTAAGGCCTTCTTAGGGCCTGTTTAAGGGCCTTTAATTTAAGGCCTTTTTAGGGACTTCCCAGCTTACAGGGTATACGTTCCTGATCAACCCTTAAAACCCTAAACAACCCTTAAAACCCTAAAAAAACCTAAAACACCTAAAAACAAAACCTTAAAAACACACCAAATTACCCTAAGAACCCCGAAAAACCCCAAAACCACTTAAAAACCCTTAAAAAGCCTAAGAAAGCCTTTAAAAATCTTTTAAAAAAGAACCCCCCCCCTCCCCTCCCCCCCCCCCCCGTGCCTTGGACGCTTAACGTCTATTCTGCGCGTGCTCTTTGTTTTCTTGGAAGTTCCCGAAAACCAATTCTGTTCTTGGGTTCTCGTTTGGCGCTTCAACGCGGAAGGCGTTCTACGGATCGCTTTGTGGCGAAAGAGGCCACGAAGAGGAGACGGTCAACATTTTGACGGGAGGCCGCGGAGACGACACGGTCAAGGGAGGGGGTTCGGAACATTTTGCTGGGAGAGGGGTGTGGCGTGGGGAGGCGTGGACCATGCCTGGAGGTTGACGGACGGGTTTCGGGGGGGGAGCACGGATGGGGAGCGTGACATTCGCACGCCCTGGCGCCCTCCGCGCCTGCTGCGCGCCGCGCCCCCGCGCCCTCCGCGCTCCGCGCGCGCTCCGCGCCCTCCGCGCGCTCTGCGCCCTCCGCGCCCTCCGCACCCTCCGCGCCCGCTCCGCGCGATCCGTGCCCTCCGCGCCCTGGCGCCCCCGCCCGGGACACAGTGTGCTGATGCTAAGGGTGCATTGCGTCTATTCTGCGGGCGTTTCCTTTGTAAAGTATATTTGTTTACAAGGCACGCACGTGCAGCATAGCCTTTAAGTGTCCATCTTCCCCCCCCCCCCAAAAAAAAACAAAAACTACATCTGAGTTCGCCGGCGTAGGTTCGCACCATGCAGGTGACGAGGATGTTGGGGGATGTGGGGGTCTTGTTGGGTCTTGGGATTCTCTCCCATAGCGCTTAGGGTCTATAGGATTTGGGGACCAAGGCAAACTGGCGCTTCCAAACCCTACGTGTTTTAGGGCTCCTGATCCCAACCACCAGACTGACTCCTTCCCCGAGCTCGGCGCCTTCTGGGAAACAAAGGTCTCCCACCATTAAAGAATCCACCTCACCTGGTCGAAGGAGTGCAGAGAAAGCCAACCATGACCCAACGAATAACGACCAGAACTCAGCTCGCAAAGCTCCTCGGAAACTAAAACCCCTGGCCAGAGCTGTAAGAAGCAAGGCGCGCAGAACATGATGCGCCATCGGGATTCGGGTGCGAATGGGCTCTAACCTTCTCCACCCACGCAGTAACGTCCATGTGCCTTTCAACAATGGCCCGGCCATACGCATGCTCCTCTGCACACTGAGAACTCCCAGAACCACCCAATATCTCTTCTCCCCCATCGAGTAAGCATGCTTCACAGCGCGTTCCAACCAGCGATCAACCACTGGAGGTGAGGATCTAGCGGACAAAGAGCCGCCAAGCGAAACCACCACTTCCAGCAGCCATCTCCCCGCCTGTTGAAGATGTTGCCGATACTCACTTGACAGGGCTGCTTGGGCCAGCTTACGCGCTGGCCTTGACCTCTTTGGCATGTTGATTCGCCACAGCCTCCGCAAAGCCCCAAGGGTACGCCCCAGCAGCTCGAGCTCGAGCCCCTCGGAGACGCTCACCGTGCTCATGGTTTGCAGGGCAAAATCGGAGACAGGCCGGAAGCCAGCCAAAATTGGACATGAGGATTGTGGGCTTTTGGGCGGGAGGTTCGGGGCCTCCGTGGTAAGCGCACATGTCGAGTCTATGCCTTCTGACCCCCTCTCTGCGCATGAAAACTTCCGTCGAACGAAGCTGCCACGCCTTGCTGTCGCGAGGATGTTCCAGGATGAAGTTTCCGCCGGCCTGACAGATCAACTCAGCCAGCTCCAGAGCCCGTTCCCACAACGCATTTCCCAATTGGATTCTTGCATCGGAAGGATCGCCTTCAGGGTCGCCAGCTGGCCGCAGAGGCCCACCTCGGGCAAGATGTCTCAAGGCACTGAAAGACCTGTACGGCGGGCTCAACCATAGCCAGTCTACCTCCCCATCCCGAATCCTTCTGTCAATCTCTGGGTCGAAGGCGTTGGTCCCGGTGAGAATCTCGACGGGCTCCAGCATCTTCCAGCCTAGCCCTCGGTAGGCCAAAGTTATTGGAGCAGTTCCTGCGAAGATCTCCCAGCCAACTGGTAAGCGATCACTGCCAGGGCCGAAACGGGCCATCCAAGCCGATGGCCTCGAAGGAGAAGGCAGGGGCCTGAACCGTGACGGGTGGTCGGCAAAGTTCGATTCCGTTTCAATCCATAACAGAGCTAACACCAAATCAGCCATGATCAAGAACGGCAGCTGAGCACGGAGCACTCCGTTGAGCCGGTAGCTTGAAGAGCGGCCCTTACTGATAGCGCCGCAGACGACAAGGGAGTCGTTGAAACAGACTTGAATGGTACCCCTGTGAGTATAACAGCTGCTCATCTTAATAACCTCCCGCCGCAAGGCCCTCGCTTCTTGCAGGTTTATGTGGGATGTCTGTCGGAAGTGGTAGCTCCCCGTCACATACCATGGAAGGCACTCTGAGATCGCCGCTGCAAAGTGGGACACCTCCAGCGGGGCGTGGCCAGACAAGTCGAGGTTTGACCTGTCCAATCGTAGCGGAGCCCCTCTCATTTCAGACCTCCGCCACAACTCTTGCAGCAGAGCCTGGGAGGCTTTGGCCCGCACAGCCCCGCCTGACGACGGAGTAGCGTCGGTAGCTAGGATTGTGGGGTGCAGTCGCCGGCGCATCTTCCAACGAGCAAACGGGAGATGCAAAGCCAAGGCTCTTAGCTCATCCAGGATGTAGGCCGGGAGCTTCATCACACGGTCTTCGGGAAGCCCTGCCACGAAAACATAAATCCGATGCATCAGGCAAAACAACTCTCTGCGAAATTGGAAGGCGAAGGCCAAGAACCCAACCAACTTCTGCAGCACCGCCTTGCTCGCTCGACCTGCCCGGACACATCGGCTGATCAAGAGCCAGATCTCACGCCGCACAGCCAGAGGAGCACCAACTGTACCCCCAACACCGTCAACCTCTGCCCCCCAAGCTTTGAAGCGAACTTCCCCTCGAAAAGCTTTGTGAGCTGCGCGCTCCAACCCCGCGTTCCGGTAGGCCTCCTCAGCTTGCCTGGTGCACTGCATGTCTCGGTCGGAAGCCTGCGGTTCGGGCGGTATAAATGATCCATCCAAGGGGACTGGCCTATCGAGAGTCAACCGTAGAGTCACCAGCAGATCATCTATGTACACCCCTTGCCACAGATCATCATCCGGAACGTGTCGGCCGTAAACCAAAGTTTGAGTCGGCGACAAGAGTCCATGGGCACGAAGTATAGCTTCATGGGTCGCCTGGGCAATCGAGCAGCCGTTGCGATCACCCATACCGAGTACCCTGAAACATAGCCGGTGCACCTTGGCAGCGTCGCCGCCGAACTCTTTAACTACCTTGGGGTCCACGGGCCTGCCGACTGAGTTGTAACGAATCCAAGAATCTGGAAGTCTCAGAGTGTAATAAAAATTTCGGAGATCGTCACCCGAGCCTCGTAGGAACTGCTTGTCGCCCAGCAGCATGCGCGTAAAACATGCTCCACTGGGGAGCCGTTCCCAAGCCAGCCTGTGCATCGTCGCATTTTCTGGGCGACGATCAAAAATGAGTCTATCTTCAGTCTCATTCTTAGCAACGCAGAAAAGCCCACCAGTGAGTAGCTGGCCTCGTGAGTCTCTCGGCAGATCGTTCTCTGGGACGAGCACCGCCATCTTGGTCTCCAAGAGCTGTCGGGCCAGCTCCGCCTCTTGATCCTCCGGGACACGGTGACAAGCCGTAACCACATCCTCCCACAAGTGCTCAGGAAGACGGAGCTCCTCAAGTCCTGCCACCGTCGCTGCCTGATCAGCCGGCAGCCAGTCCAGTGGATCCACCGCACCAGCATTCTTCGGGATGGCCACCCGCTCGGCAGCCACAGGGAGTGCGCCTGAAGGCGCGGCAACCTGCACGCCATAGCTTGCACAAGTCTGCTTCATAAGGTCCTCCAAGAGAGATCTCTTGCCCTCAAGCGAAAGGGACCCGGTCACCATTTCAACCGAAGCAAATTCAACCACCTCGCCAAGTAGCTCCTCAGCAAACACCTGGATGTCCGCCCGGTAGAGCACCCGCGGCTCGTATGCAGAACTTCCCTTCTTGGGGCAGCCAAGCACCACAAAGTTGGACCAAGCCACAAACGTGTTTACGAAAGCTTTTGCCCACCAAACAGTAGCTTGTTCTGCTCCAAAAACAAAATCCAAGGTCAAGATCTCGGGGAAGGGAAGCACACACGGGAATAAGGGTATATCATCGCCAGTCCGTACCAGCAAAGCACCTTGAACGCTCTCAAACCAAGTCACATAACTCATAAACGATGAATTCCGGCCTTGAAGTGCAGGATGCCTTAGGCAGCGCCGCCCCTCGCCATGCATGGTTGTCTGTGAGCCTACTTCCGGGACGCGGCGGCCGCCTCGTCCTCGTCGTCGGCTTGGCTGCTTCCCTGGGCCTCCTTGACACGCTTCTTCAACTTGTGGAGGGCGTCGAGGTAGCCTGAGACCACTGCCATCTCCTCGCGAGTTCCGGCGAACTCGCGCTTCTGCATCGGATCCGCCAGCCCTGTAAGAAGCCACGCCGTCTCCCAACTGCCCCCTTGCAAAACCGATTGGAGTTTCGATTTCATATTCTGGACCAGCTGAGCTCCGGCCTCGTCGTGCTTCCCTGCGCGGATGAGCTCGTAGGCAGCTACATCCTGGATCGCGCATCTGTAGATGCCTTTGAATTTGCCCCACGGATGTCTTTTCATGTAATCTCGAAGGGTCCAGCTTTGGCCTGCCACTACCCCCATCTCGTCGCGCGCCTCCTTCTCGAAGATCTCGCACACCCGCCTCGGGTGTTTCCGCACCTGGTCGTGAAGCCGATGCAGAGTCGCCATGGCTTTCATACCATGACCTTTTCCCCCTTCTTCGCCCTCGCTGCTTTCGGACGAGGAACCACCAAGGAGTTCGCTGCTGCTGGAGCCGCGGGCTTTGTCCTTCTTCTTCTTCCCTGTCTTCTGGTCCTGGAGCTGGAGGAGGGCCACCATTAAAAGCGGCATCATGTCCGTCGTCGTCTGGCCTGCAGCCAGTCCCTGTAGGACGAGCTGCTTCACATTGATCTCCTCGTCTTTGACGGTATGTTTGGCTTTGCTCCCATTCTTCTTCTTGCCCATCTTGTTGAAAGCACCTGGTCGTAGGAACTCGGCCGCAGCCACCTCGCTGTCGTCCTCCTCGTCCTCGCTGTCGACATCGCTTAGGCCCTCTGACCCTCGAGGCCTCTGAAAGAGCTTCCCCAAGTTCTTGATCTCCTGTTCTACTCTGGTATTGCGCGGCTTCGTGAGCCCAGCCTTTTCGGCCCCACTGCTGCTCAGGCCTTCGCTGTCCACACTCTTCCACGCTACCTGGGCTGTCACAAAACCCGGGATCTCCGACAGCTTGGGACCTTGCCATTCTTCAGGCTTTGTCAGGGCCAAGGATGCAGAAGGGACTCTGATGAAGGCAACGTTAAGCCCGTGCCCTTGCGCAGTTGCCTGGTTTGGCACCTCTTTCACACCTGAAGGAGTCGTGGCCAGGATGGCCTCATCACCCTCCAATGCAATGATCCACCCTGTCACTGGCACTTGCCCAGCGGACCCATGGCACCGCACATATGCTATGTTCCCAGTCTCCATCTCACAAACAACTTGAGCAGTTACGACACAGGGGCCCGGCAGTACGTGGACCTGAAGCATGCTCCACTGCCTGACGCCAGAACATACAGGAATATGGCTTTCAACCCTAAACCCATGGCAGTGGGCCAAGGGGTCCAACGAAGTCGCTTTACGGAGCGAAGCTGAGCGAAAAGAAGCTGAGACTCCTGCGCCGCTGCAAGTTGGGGACGTCCGTCCTAAGCGATAAAAGCGATTTTCCCCCCCGCCCAAAAACGACACTGATCCTATACGGTTTACTGCTTGGGGTTGAGGTTTTAGGGTTTTAGGGTTTAGGGCTTGTGTGATGATAAATGTGCCCATACGTGTTAACATCTCTTTTTTGATTGTATGCAGTAAGGAATAATCATAATCAGAATCATAATAGCAACAAGTACTTCAGATGAATGATAAGTAATTGTTCATGATAAATACTAACAAATAACTGATAACTAATAGCGAATAGTTGAAAACTTCAGAATCGGATATTGTTACTGAATAGTTAGTAACTGCAAATTAATAATTAATAACTGTTAACTGATAACTAATTCCAGTACCACTACCGCTATCACTACCACAAACAACAACAGCAGTAGCAACAACAACAACAACAACAACAACCACCACCACCACCACAACAACGACAGCGACAACAGTAACAACAATACAAAGAGTAGTTAAAACGAAGCCAATTGGGCTTATTGATGCTAATCATTACTAGTCAAAGGCATGCTTTGCTACATGTAATACTCTTGTGTGCTTGTTAACTCACGTCTTACAACTGCCACTGTTACTATCGGAATCACCACCACTACTAACAACAAAAGCACTAACAAGGTTAACAACAATGGCAACAACAACACTTCAATGAGTAACCAATGAAAAGACTTGAAAAGACCTTTGGTTTTGATGATGCTAATCTTCACTTTCAAAAGACATTGTTTACATTTATTCACTGTGCGTAGCATTGTTGTGTGCTCGTTAACCGACATTTTGAAGCCGTAGTCAGCATTCAGTACACAAGAACACACAAGACATTACAAGACCATATTAGGCGTTTACAGTCAAACATAACAAAACAGAGCAACACAAGACCGCGCGGAAAGGCAGCCGGAGCCCCACCCAGTCACTGAGCCCACGGCATCAAGATTGCCCACCTCGCGGCGCACGCAGGGCGTGATGCCCTATGACTCACGCAACAAGTGCAGGGCTCCCTGTTCTGCAGCCGAGTTGCCCGGCGGCGTTCGAGTTGCCCGGGCGGCGTTCGCAAATACAAGTACGTGGAGACTTTGGCCTGGTTCCTTGATTCCCAAGGCAACTCTTGTTCGGTAGTCACAGAACAGCTGGCTCCAAGAACATGCAAATCAGCTCACTGTCAAAGTGTCAGTTACTCTGGCACAATTCATCTCTTCCAGTTTCCTGTCTGAGGGGAGACGTAAGGAGCAAGCCGTATCTGTTGCTCTTGGTGATATGCATCCTGTATGATAGCACCAACCGCGTGGCTTGGGTCTTCGATTGACGTTGCTGCCGCTCATGCCCAGCGCAAGCAACTTAGCGGGCTTGTTCCACTGTCCGCGCGTTTTGACGCTTCAAGTTCCTAAAAAAAAAAGCGCCTCTGGGCACCGTGGGTAGCGGGCCCCTCTGGGCACTGAGCCCCAAACAGGCCTCCCACTGCTGAAAAGCGGTGAGGTGCAGAGCTTTCAGCCGCCCAAGATGCTTTCAAGATTTCAGAAGATTTTCAAGACAGCCTCAGGAATTAGGGGTTTGAGTTGGTTGCCGAGCATCTTTTTCCTTTGAAGATCCCCAGCGTGTTAGGACTAGGGGGGGGATGGAGAATGGAGCTGGCAATTTATGACGTCCCTGCGAGCTGTCATGGCTACGAGGCTCCGCAACTCCGGCGTCTCACCTGGTTTGACCAAGAGGATACACAGGCGAGGAAGGAAAAAGGGTTTTCGTGCGACAAACCCAAAAACGGAGACGGATATTGGCACATCAGGACCCGAGACCCTGCCTCCCTCCATTTATATAAAGGGGAAATCTGTGAAGCCTCTCAGATTCAAGAGAGCAAACGCAAAAGAGTCCCTTTTCCCCCCACCCCCCCCCCCACCCTTCTCCCTGCCATGAAAGTGTGTCTCAAGTGCGTTGCACTGGGGTGGTCTGCTCCGCAGCTGAGCATTCCTCACAAAGACATCTGTGTAGATGCACAGGGCGAGGCAAAATGCGGAGGCAAATGCGCAGTTCCCTTGCGAAGTAAGCAGCGGCGCGAAGCTTGCAAGGTTGCAGCCAATCGCCAGATGGCCCTGAACAGCGGGTACTTGTGCTTGATCAGAGGCCCTGGCATTCTCAGACTGAGGGGGAAATAACGGGTGAAGAGGGAGACCCTTTCATCTGCCCGCCCGTCGCCTTCAGGCAGTGAAGTGGCGCAGCTCCCCGGCTACGTACTCGAGCCTACGGGCCCAGGAAGTGTCTGTAAATTGTGCAAGAATTCTGCACATGCACGGGCGAGGCAAATGCACCGAGGGTACTTGCGCTTGATCAGACGCCCCGGCATTCTCAGACCAAGGGGGAAACAGCGGGTGAAAAGAGAGGCTTTCACCTGCCCGTCGCCTTCACGCATGCCTGCACAGGTGGCACAGGTGGTGAAGTGGCACAGCTCTTTGAGTTACGTACTCGAAGCCTAGGAGCCTAGGAAGTGTGCGCAAACTGTGTAAATTCTGCAGATGCGAGGCCAATGCATAGTGCCCTTGCGAAATACGCGGCAATCGTGAAGCTCGCAAGGTTGCAGCACGTCGCCAGTTGGCCCTGAACAGAGGGTACTTGCGCTTGATCAGAGGCCTTTGCGTTCTCAGACTGAAGGGGTAATAGCGGGCAAAGAGAGGATCGCTTTCTTTTGCCCGTCTCCCATAAAAGACATGGAGAGGGGTTTCAAGAGTTTCTGCAGGCGCAAGTTCCAAGCGATGCCAACAACTTTGATGCTCCGGGCTCCGACTCTTCTCAGGGCTTCATCTGCTCAGGCTGCTCGCAAAGGCTCAGCACGCATGGAACGTCGGCTGATGTCGGCTGAAACCGTCTGCTGTTGCGGTTGGCATCTCCTCATCGCTTTTCGATCGCTGAATCTTGGACTCGAGCGGGCCACAAACCAAGCGCCGTATGGCTCTAAATATGCAGGGCACGTGCGCTTGATCAGAGGCCGGGGCATTCTCAGTGAGGGAGGCAGGGAATGGAGAGTACCATGTTCGCCCGTGGCCTGCAGCTGTCTCTCGTAACCCATGGAAGACTTGGGGAAGGGTCCAGAGAAGCAATTGACAGCAATTGCATGCTCTGCTCTCCTGCGCTTCCTAGAGATTCATCTGCCTCGGCCGATGTCGGCTGCAGTTGAAAGAAGAATGTCCACACCATATGTCTGCTTGGGATTCCTGAGGCGACTTGCCTGATGGTGCCTCGGCACACGGCAGCGATCCGATGGGAGTGCTGAGAGTGCGGTGCTGTCTCGCTAGAAGACGCTGGTGATGTGATCACGAGCTTTCCAGGCATTCCACCTCGAGGGAAACTCCACTGACTCAGGGGACTGACGCAAAGACGATCCTTCAGCTTCTCCAAAGCAGTCAGGCTGACATGGGTCACATGAGACGTGCAAAACATGAGGACAGCACAGAAGCAAGAAATGAGACCAGGCACTGCGGCTGGTGAAGGGCAAGGAACTGTCGAGCCAACTTGCGCACAGCAGAAAGGCCAACTCACACTTGCAGGCACGTATGGGGTGGACAATTTTCGAATTGAGATCTGAACTCTACATCGAGCGGCGGACCTCCTACAGCTAGCACTGCTTGGGAGCGAATTCCCAGCCATGCCCAGAACGTTGATGCTCCGGTTTCCGACTCTTCTCAGGGCTTCATCTGCCCAGGCCGATCGACAAGGCTCTGGCCGCGGGCACTGGCGCAAAGAAGCCGCCCTCAGCTTCTCCAAAGCAGTCAGGCTGACTTGGGTCACATGAGACATGTAACACATGAGAACAGCACAAAAGAGAGCGATGAAACCAGGCACTGCGGCTGGTGAAGGGCAAGGAACTGTCGAGCCAACTTGCGCACAGCAGAAAGGCCAACTCACACTTGCAGGCACCTTCGACGTGGCAAACTTTCCAATTGAGATCTGAACTCTACATCGAGCTGCGGACCTCCTACAGCTAGCACTGCTTGGGAGCGAATTCCCAGCCATGCCCAGAACGTTGATGCTCCGGTTTCCGACTCTTCTCAGGGCTTCATCTGCCCAGGCCGATCGACAAGGCTCTGGCCGCGGGCACTGGCGCAAAGAAGCCGCCCTCAGCTTCTCCAAAGCAGTCAGGCTGACTTGGGTCACATGAGACATGTAACACATGAGAACAGCACAAAAGAGAGCGATGAAACCAGGCACTGCGGCTGGTGAAGGGCAAGGAACTGTCGAGCCAACTTGCGCACAGCAGAAAGGCCAACTCACACTTGCAGGCACCTTCGACGTGGCAAACTTTCCAATTGAGATCTGAACTCTACATCGAGCTGCGGACCTCCTACAGCTAGCACTGCTTGGGAGCGAATTCCCAGCCATGCCCAGAACGTTGATGCTCCGGTTTCCGACTCTTCTCAGGGCTTCATCTGCCCAGGCCGATCGACAAGGCTCAGCGCGGAAGGAACGTCGGCAAAATCGGGGGCTGCCTCGCTGGATGATGTTTGTGATGTGATCACGAGCTTTCCAGGCATTCTACCTCTCTCAAAAAACATTGAGTGACTAGGCAGACGGGCCGAAGGCACTGGCGCAAAGAAGCCGGGCACGCCCTCAGCAGAGATGCCCTAGACAAGGCTTCAGCTTCTCCAAAGCAGTCAGGCTGACTTGGGTCACATGAGACATGTAACACATGAGAACAGCACAAAAGAGAGCGATGAGACCAGGCACTGCGGCTGGTGAAGGGCAAGGAACTGTCGAGCCAACTTGCGCACAGCAGAAAGGGCAACTCACACTTGCAGGCACCTTCGACGTGGCAAACTTTCCAGTTGAGATCTGAACTCTACATCGAGCTGTGGACCTCCTACAAACAGCACTGCTTGGGCCTTGAGCCGACAGATAGCCGATGATGCGTGCACAAGTGGCACAGGTGGTGAGGCGGCATGCCTCATTATGTCATTGAGCTACGTACTCGAAGCCTAAGGGCCCAGGAAGTGTGCGTAAACTTTGTAAATTCTGTGTATATTCTGCAGACGCGCAGGGCGAGGCCAATGCATAGCGCCCTTGCAGAATACGCGGCAATCGTGAAGCTCGCAAGGTTGCAGCCAATCGCCAGATGGACCTGAACAGAGGGTGTTTGCGCTTGATCAGAAGCCTTTGCAGTCTCACATTGAGTGGCAGAGAGATACTTAAATCTGCTCCTCTGTCGCCTAGGCGGTGAAGTGGCACAGCTCTTTGAGCTACGTACTCGAGCCTCGGGGCCTAGGAAGTGTGCGTAAGCTGTATATACTCTGCGTCTATTCTGCAGATGTGCGGGGTGAGGCCACGTTCTGGCTCACGCAATACCTGCTGACTGGCGTACCTCACGTGAGGCCAATGCATAGTGCCCTTGCAGCATACGCGGCAATCGTGAAGCTTGCAAGGCTGCAGACGATCGCCAGTTGGCCCTGAACAGAGGGTACCTGCGCTTGATTAAAGGCTCTGGCATTCTTACGTTGAGTGGCAGAGAGATGCTTTCATCTGCCCGTCTACTGCCTAGGTGGTGAAGTGGCACAGCTCTTTGCGCTACGTACTCGAGCCCTGGAAAGTGTCTGAAAGCGGTGCATAATGTCTGCAGATGCACGGGGCGAGGCAAATGCATAGTGCTTTTGCAGAGTACGCGACAGTCGTGAAGCTCGCAAGGCTGCAGCAAATCGCCAGATGGCCCTGAACAGAGAGTACTTGCGCTTGATCAAAGGCTGGCATTCTACCTTGATGGTGAAGAGCGGGACGCTTTCATCTGTCCGTCCGTCGCCTTCATGCATGCCTGCACAGGTGGCACAGGTGGTGAGGCGGCACGGGTCTTTGAGCTATGTGCCCCAAGCCTTAGGAGCCCAGGAAGTGTGCGTAAAATGTGAAAACATTCTCAGTAAATTCTGCAGATGCCAAGCCAATGCACAGTGCCCTTGCAGAATACGCGGCAATCGTGAAGCTCGCAAGGCTGCAGCCAATCGCCAGATGGCCCTGGACAGTGGGAACTTGAGACTGAAGGGGACATTGCGGGTGAAGAGACAAATGCCTTCATTTGCCCGTCTCCCATGGAAGACATGGAGAAGGGTTTCAAAGTTCCAAGCGATGCCAACAACTTTGATGCTCCGGGCTCCGACTCTTCTCAGGGCTTCATCTGCTCAGGCTGCTCGCAAAGGCTCAGCTCGGAAGAAAGGTCGTTTGATGTCGGCTGAAACCGTCTGCGGTTGCGCTTGGCATCTCCTCATCGCTTTTCGATCGCTGAGTGTTGGACTCGAGCGGGCCACAAAACAAGCGCCGTATGGCTCTAAATATGAGGGGAACGTGCGCTTGATCAGAGGCCGGGGCATTCTCAGTGAGGGAGGCAGGGAATGGAGAGTACCATGTTCGCCCGTGGCCTGCAGCTGTCTCTCGTAACCCATGGAAGACTTGGGGAAGGGTCCAGAGAAGCAATTGACAGCAATTGCATGCTCTGCTCTCCTGCGCTTCCTAGAGATTCATCTGCCTCGGCCGATGTCGGCTGCAGTTGAGAGAAGAATGTCCACACCATATGTCTGCTTGGGATTCCTGAGGCGACTTGCCTGATCTTACCTCCGCACACGGCAGCGATCCGATGGGAGTGCTGAGAGTGCGGTGCTGTCTCGCTAGAAGACGCTGGTGATGTGATCACGAGCTTTCCAGGCATTCCACCTCGAGGGAAACTCCACTGACTCAGGGGACTGACGCAAAGACGATCCTTCAGCTTCTCCAAAGCAGTCAGGCTGACATGGGTCACATGAGACGTGCAAAACATGAGGACAGCACAAAAGCAAGCGATGAGACCAGGCACTGCAGCTGGTGAAGGGGCAGGAACTGTCGAGCCAACTTGCGCACAGCAGAAAGGCCAACTCACACTTGCAGGCACGAACGGGGTGGACAATTTTCGAATTGAGATCTGAACTCTACGTCGAGCTGCGGACCTCCCACAGCTAGCACTGCTTGGGCCTTGAGCCGACAGATAGCCGATGCTGCCCTCACGAATGCCTGCACAGGTGGCACAGGTGGTGAAGTGGCACGGGTCTTTGGGCTAACGACTGGAGTCTAGGAAGGTGTCTGTAAACTGTGCAAAATTTCTGCAGCTGCACGTGGCGAGGCACATGCGTAGTGCCCTGGCAGAGAACTTGAAGCTCGCAAGATTACCAACGTGTTAGGACTAGGGGGGGATGGAAAATGGAGCCGCCAATGCCTGACGTCCCTGCGAGCAGCCGCCCGACTTAGAGCGCTCGCTCAATTTGCTAGCTTTCTCAAAAAAGAGAAGCCCACATGTGTTGTGGAAACCTTGAATCCGTGATTTCCACATAAACGCACCTTGTGGTCTTCTCCGGGTGCGGTGGGCTTGTCAATTTTTTGCAACATTGGGAAGGGCTCGTTACCTGGAGAAACAAGGGAATGTGTGCAAGTATCCCTGATCAAGGGAATGGTGCAAAGACGATCTCAGCAGAGAAGCCCTAGACAAGGCTTCACCTTCTCTATGTAAATTCTGTGTATATTCTGCAGACGCGCAGGGCGAGGCCAATGCATAGCGCCCTTGCAGAATATGCGGCAATCGTGAAGCTCGCAAGGCTGCAGTCAATCGCCAGCTGGCCCTGAACAGAGGTACTTTCGCTTGATTCAAGGCTCTGGCATTCTCACATTGAGTGGCAGAAAGATGCTTTCATGTGCCTGTCGCTTAGGTGGTGAAGTGGCACAGCTCTTGGAGCTACGTACTCGAGCCTCGGGGCCTAGGAAGTGTGCGTAAGCTGTATATACTCTGCGTCTATTCTGCAGATGTGCGGGGTGAGGCCACGTTCTGGCTCACGCAATACCTGCTGACTGGCGTACCTCACGTGAGGCCAATGCATAGTGCCCTTGCAGCATACGCGGCAATCGTGAAGCTTGCAAGGCTGCAGGTGATCGCCAGTTGGCCCTGAACAAAGGATACCTGCGCTTGATTAAAGGCTCTGGCATTCATACGTTGACTGGCAGAGAGATGCTTTCATCTGCCCGTCTGCCGCGGGTGGCATGATTACATTGAATGGCAGAAAAA